TTTTGGTACTAGGGATTGAAACCAGGGGTTCAATCTGGGTTGAACTCAGATGTACTGAGCTACATCCCCAGAAGTCCCCCCCCCCCTTTTTTCTTTTACTCTGAGATAGGGTTTCACTAAATTGCTTAAGGCCTTGATTAGTTTCTGAAGCTGATCTCAAACTTGTGATCCTCCTGCTTCAGCCTCCCACTTCTCTGGGATTATAAGCATCATCACTGTACCCAACTTCTACTTTGTAATCTGTCATACAACAAATACTGCATGCTTCCTGGTGTCAAGCCCTGTGCTAGGCAAGGCAGATGGCTTCTGACCTGCTAGAACTCACATATAGTGGGGGAAGACAGACTTTAAAGAAGTCAACAAATAAATATGTAAATACAGACTAAGGTAAGGTCTATAAACATAATGCCAAGCTACCTATGAAAGAAGGAGGCAGACAGCCAAAGAATGGCTGAGAGACAAAGGCAAACACTAAGCTCTGAGGCAGGAAGGATTGTGAAGGTGGCTGGATGGCTGTGGGGAGGGGAAGTAGCTCCAGCTCTGGTGCAGGATGTGCCGCCCTCCAAAGCTGCAGGTCCCTTGGGGGTAAGCCATTTCCATTTTATCCCAAGCGCATAGGGATCTCCGTCTGTTCCCTCAGTTGCCATTGGGAGAATGTACTGCAGAGGGCGCTGCAAGCGCTGGGGTAAGATGACTTTGGCCAGGACTCAGATCATTTCAGGAGCGAAACGACGAACTGGCCTGATTTGAGATCTCTCGTGGAGGTGGAAACCACCGAGCAAGCTGATGAAATGGATGCAAGAGCAGAGAGAGAAACCAAATGAATCCCAGGTTTCTGGCTTAAGGCGCTTGCTGGCTATTCTTAGTTTCCTCATCGCTGACATGGAGATCAAAATACCTGTCTCCTTTGATAGCTGAGAGGGTTAAAGAAAAGAATCCACTTGCAAGTGTGGAGGCACTTGCAGCCACCAAACGAACCAGTTTCTTTACTTGCTGATTTCCATGCCGACGCTCTCAGCACACCCTCAGGTGGGGTTCTATGGGGTGTCCAAGGCCAGCTCAGTGAGGCATCGAGAGGGTTGCTGGAAGCCCTCGGGAATCTGATTAGAGGAGAACCCAAACCACCCATCTGGATACACCTGGCTCCACCTGCTGGAGGATCAGTTCCTTATTCAGGCAGCTCTCCCATTACCATTCCCCAGTGACGGTACCTGGAATAAGTCCGCGCGGTTCAGGGCACTGACAGCCACCTTCAGAAGGACTTCACCCTCCCCAGGGATCGGTTTGGGCACCTCCTTTATGTAGAGATTTTCTGGTCCCCCAGGGTTGTCGAAGTACACAGCTAGCATTCTATCTGAGGCGAAATGGGGAAGAGGCAGGAGACTGGGACAGGTGTGAAAGAAGCCCCTTCATCAAATCAGGGTCACCTGACACCAGCCTCCCATGGCCTGTTACGTCACTGCAGCCGCCTTATGTCTCACTACCTGTGACTTCCCTCCCTAAATTTCCAGCGGTTACGCATCCTGAGTCCTCTCCAGCATGAAGAGGACAAGTAATGCAGCTACTTGGTTTTGGAATTAAAGAAATGGAGATTTAGCCAGTATGACATAATTTGTGGCCCAGGGTGTGGTGCATTGCAGCCCCTGCCCTTTCCCTGAGATTCAGCCTGCCTTCCCAGGGAGTTGTACACTGTCCAGAGAGGAGGGGACAACAAGCTAAGAAGGAAGAGAGCCATACCTGAAGCCATCCTGCCAGGGTGCCTGGGCCTCACCTCCTGATATAGGTGCAACCTGCTGCAGCAGGCCCAGGTCAGGGAGGGACTTTGTTCTGGGCCGTCTGTTTGTTCATCGTAAGCAACCTGCATTACACCGTGAAGTTCTGCTGAGTCACCTTGAGGCAGTAGTTTCTCTAGTTCCAAGACCTAGCTTGGTGGCCCGGTAGCTCAGTGGTGATATTACCGCTGTTTACCAGTGAGGAGTCCTTGCTTCCCCAATGCTGAAGTATAACACCAGAGAAGCATGCCGAGGCAAGTGTAGAGTGGAAAGTAGAAGCTTTATTAAGGTCAGCAGAAAAGACTTCTCCCCAGAGGAAGAAGGGGACTCAAGAGATGAAATCCATGGAAGGGGAAGTTCTTCCCTTTTTTTATAGCTAAGGTTTATTTTTAGATTTCCTGCATTCCTGTCACTTGCATTTTTGTGTTAGTTCTGTATCTTGCAGTGATGGAATGTAGGTGGGGAAGGCCCAAAGGGTGGGAGACAGGTGGGCCAAAGGTGTAATCTGGCCAGGGACAGCTGCTTCATTAACATTTCCTTGGGAACATTTTCAATTCTCCTTTTCCTGGACTCCATTCTCAATATGGCCTTCATTCTCGATTTTACTTGATATTAGACCTGTAACTACACTAACTACCTATCTTTAAATCTGGCTTCAGTGATTCATGGTCTGGAAYTAACACTCTCCCTGGGGAAGCCAGAGAAATTCACTGTGGGTACCATACCTGCTTCTGTGCCTGCAGGACTTTCTCTGGGCTCCTCCTCCCCTGTCTCCATGGCATTTTACCCTGAGGCAGATCCAACAAATCCCAAGACCCAGGATTTGGGAAGGCTCTGGGAGAGGGAAGGACTCGAASTTGGCCTGTTGGCCCCTGGGTCTACCCCAGTTTTCTCGAGGCTGCCTGTTTAGCTACTTGCCATCTTCCTGGGCACCCATCCTCCAYGACTCAGGGGCCAAGGTATTTCTTCTTAATCTGGTGGTGCTCTTCACACTTTTTCTCATATAGACAAAAAGAATTTTCAAAAACTATGTGTTCCTTCTTATTGTTAGGTGGGTGGAGGTGACTTAGAACAAAGCAGGCAGTGTGGAAAAGAAACATCAATCAGGCACTGACAGAAATGCCTGTCAATCATCAGGACCTCCTGGCCAATCCTGGAGTTCAGCCAGCTCCCCTGACCAACTCCAGTGGGATAAGGGACTCTAAAAACACCTTTTCCTGTCCCAAGCCATTCCCTTCCTGCCTAAGCCCCCATAAAATTCCAGTCCAGTCGAGCTCCCACATAGTTTCTCCTCAGACCCTTCTCCTATCTACTCTGTTGGTCTGATGAGTTCCTCACRGGAGTGATATCTCAATAAAGTCTCCTTGGGTGGCCTTTTTAAATCTGCCTCCTTTGGTCACTGCCTGCCTCACCTGATCTTACACTTATATTTTTTAGGTTGATATCTAAAATGTTTCATCTTAAATAGTTGCCAAAGATATTGATTTCTGGTCATCAATACTGACATTTTAATTTCTTATACTTTTAATTTTTGTTCTACATTTTTAAATTGGTGTTMTAGTTATACATACTGATGGGATTTGTTACATATTCGTACATGCCCCCAATACCTATATAACAGTATAATTCAACCAATATTAGTCCCCATCACTTCCCCCTTTCCTCCCCACCTCCTACCCTTTGGTCTCTTTCCTCTGGTGATCTCCCTTGGATTTTCATGAGATCCTGGCCCCTACCATTCTTTTCCTCTTTCTTGTCTAGCTTCTGCATATTAGAGAAAACACAGGACCCTTAACCTTSTAGTTTGACTTATTTAACATAATGGTCTCTAGGTCCACCCATTTTCCTTCAAATGACATAATTTCATTTTTCTTTTTATTTCACACTTTTAAATGTATAAAATGGAATCTGATTTCAGAGCAATTTGATTTACAAGACTTCACTAAAGACTCAAACAGAAATGTGGATGTGTAACTGGTGTGATTCTGCAATCTGTATTTGGGGTAAAAATGGGAGTTCATAACCCACTTGAATCTAATGTATGAAATATGATATGTCAAGAGCTTTGTAATGTTTTGAACAACCAATTAAAAAAAAAAAAAGAAAAA